GAGGCTCTTCTCTCATGAAACATGGCTGCAGAGGGAGGTAAGTTGTTTACCAGCCGGCTACAAACACGCTCTTTTCCCAGGATGGTGCTGATTTGAAGGGAAATAGAAGCTCAGCAGAGAATACAGATCAGCTTTTAAGTGTTTCTTGACATGTTAGCCTCCTTTAATCGAATCCTGCACCCTGTACGTGATCAGTAACCATGGGAGCAGCTCAGAGAGAATTGCATTACTGCTAAAGTTCTTAAGCCAGCTCCATTTAAATAAGCTATTTCGTAAAAAGGATGAAAAAAGACACTTAGCCCCTTTTCTGTGACGCAAAGACGTGATCTTTGCCTAAGGTGCAGCCAAATACTTATTTCACAGGTTGTGCTCAGCCAGATAGTACAACAGAAGTACAACTTTTGCGTCACATCTGGAAATGCCCTCAGAGGGTGAGCTCATTTTTACAGATAGAAGCAACATCTCGCTATCAGCTTACAAGAAGAATAATCACCAGGTTATATCCTCAAAGGGTGAAGAAGGAAATCTTTCAGTTGCACCGCTGGCCACTGCAGAGGATCACATCTTTGGCTGATGTGATATTCACCCCTAAAGTTTAACAACTCAAGCCACCACCACCTAGCTTCCTCCTGCTCCTCAAAAGCTGCCCCAGGACCTGTCCAACACACTCTTCCACAGGGAGCAGCTGCCTTTAGCAATGTCCCACACTCTTGCACCTAGAACTGGACTTCCTCAGGCAAAGGGACAACCAGCACCAGCAGGTCTGTCTCCTGCAAACTCCTCCCGCGCACATCCTGGGGTTGTCTAATACAAGTACGCAGATGTGTGGGTTTAGGTGACCAATATGTTTCTAACTAGTACTGCTGAGGCCAGAGCCAAGCTCCCTCTCGCCAGCCCCATCATCTCCCTGGATCTCACAACCTCCAACATTCACGTTCTTCGCTTCTTTAGTATGAGGTGTGGAAGCATCTCCCCTTCACAATCTACCCACAGACTGACAATTACAGGATGCTTCCCAGTGGCAAGAGAGATGGAGCTGCTGCAAGGAGAATTGCACCTCTGTTTCCATCTGCCTGAGTGGGTGCACTGACCAGAAGGTTATGATGTGAAAGGATGGACACTAGATGCTTCACCCCACTCTGCTTTTGCATGGAAATGGCCTTGTACTTATTTCAATACTACTGGTGAGGCTTAGGTGGGTTTTGAACCTACCACCACAAGGACATGGAGGCAGGCGCTCAGGCCCTCAGCTCGCCTGGAACATCTGCCCACTTAGATATTCACAACAGCAGAACTCAGATCCTTACATTCACTTTCTGGCAAAAATACAGCAGCTCTGAATTTGTGTAGTACCCTGGATGGAGGTTTGAGGCCACTTTTTGATGGAGGTTTGAGGTCACTTTTTCAATTATTTTGAGTTCTTTCTTAGTCTACGATTAGTAACGAGTGATAGGACAAGGGAAAATGGCCTCAAGTAGTGCCAAAGGAGGTTTAGGTTAGACATTAAGAAACATCTCTTCACCAAAAGAGTGAAGCGTGTTAAGTTTTGGAACAGGCTACCCAGGGAATTGGTTGAGACATCATCCCTGGAGGTCTTTAAAAGATGTATAGATGTGGTGCTTAATGACATGGTTTAGTGATGGACCTGGCATCATTAGGTTAATGGTTGGACTTGGTGATCTTAAAGGTCTTTTCCAACCTAAACGATTCCATAATCTGAACATTTTTACTTTGTACACTCGCGAGTCACCTCCCCAGAAGCCCTAGAACAAACATGGTTGAACTGCAGAGAGGAAAATATTATCTGTTGGTGTTTGAAAGACTGAACAAGAAAAGTTTTTTCTTCTCCAGTGAGCATGAATGGTCCTACAATTAGACCCCTCTGCTTAACCTTTTAGCTCTAATGGGGATGAGAAAATTGTCTTGGGGAGTAGTAACAATTGAATTAATTGAAACCGATTGTCTGAAAAAAACCCACAATGATGCACGCGGACAGAAAGCATCTTTGTACAGGCAGCAAGTGCTTTTTTCTGCAGCATTTAGCCAGTGGGCAGAAGAGTGTTTGCTTCAGTGGCTCACAATAAGGTCATGGAAGCAGCCTTGCAGGCTCCAGCAGGGTTCCATCATTAAGGAAGAGGGTGTGGTGCTCACAGACAAAACCAGACCAGCCACTGGTTGCTATAAAAATCCTTCTACTCTGACAACAGCATCAGGGTGCTCAGTTTTCTGATGTGATGGGGTGCTGATGCAAAACTCCACAAGGAAACGCTGCCTGGGTGAAGGTCTCCAGCCCTTCCCGCAACATGCGTGGGGATGGTCTCCATTCAACACTGTTTGACCAGAGTATGGGATGTAATTCATCATGAGGGCAACCTGTTTGGCCAGCTGCTGCCTGAACTACATCAGAGTGGTCCAGCTATGGTGTAAGTACCCACACCAACAGATTTATTCCGATGTGGGTGAGCCGAGCTGTACTTACTGCCCTGTGATGCTGCTGATGTTTTGCTGGGTCGTTCAAAGGCTCTAGTGAAAGGCTGATCAAAGGCTCTCAATGCCCACTGCTCAACATGGATGCATGTAGCAGTCTTGTCAAACGAGATGTGATGACACAGTGATGCAATCATGCAGGGCAAGTGCCCTGGGAAACGTCCAACGGCCTTGGGTGGATTGCTTAATATCTTCATGAAAGTAAGGAGAAAATGGACCCTTATCACAGGGGTTGTGCCCAGAACAGAGCAACCTCTGAAGTGTTTCTCTTGCAGGATATGTCTAACAGCATCCAGTCTAGTTCTGTTCTTTCAGGTTTATCCATGCTCACCCTCCTGAGGATGGCAAATTAGCTTCATTAGGCAGAACTGAGCTGCTGAGAGGAGGATGTGTCCACACAACTAAGAGTGGGACCAAGACTGAATTGACCCTGTAGGACACCAATTTCATCTCCACACCTTGAGTGTTGTGTCCAGTTTTGGGCAGCTCAACCCAAGAGAGATCTCAACGGGCTGCAGCGAGTGCAGAGGAGGGCGATGGATCTGGTGAAGGTCCTAGAAAATAAATCTTGGGAAGAGCGACTGAAGGATCTGCAGCTGTTGAGTTTGAAGCAGAGGAGGATGAGGGGAGCCCTCATCCCTCTCTGCAACTGCCTGACAGGACATTGTGGAGAGGTTGGGGCTGGTCTCTTCTCACGGGGAATGAGCGACAGAACCAGAGGGAACGGCTGCAAACTGCACCAGGGCAGGGTCACACTGGGCAGCAGGAAAATGTTTTCCCAGCAAGAGCCGTCAGAGCTTGGCACAGGCTGGCGGGGTTGAGTCCCCACCCCTGGAGATGTTTCAAGGTCGTTGAGATGTGGGGTTGGGGGAGATGGTTTAGGGGTGAGCTCTGTAGAGTAGGGTCAGTGGTTGGACTCGATGATCCCAGGGGGCTTTTCCAACCTGAAGGATTCTAGGATTCTATGATTTTTTATCTTCCTTTCTGGCTTTCTTCTGACCTTCACTTGCCCCGATACTTTGCAGTCATCACGTTCACGCTGCTGAAGACATGAAACTCCTCTAAGAAAGTCCACCACTTGGACACTGACTGATGTTTGGATCCAGACAGAGCATGACTGAGGTGATGCACCAGCCCCAGGTGTCTTCAGGCTCCTCAAGCCCAGAAAAGCCTGTGAAGCCCATTTCTAGCATGCATTATGATGGGATGGGTTAGTCTGTTCCTGAGGTTGTCTCCAGACCCACAGCCTGCTGAGGTACAATCTCAGAGGTATCACGTGGGCATCCCTGGCAAAGTTCTAAGTTGGCCAAAGTAGCACTGTAAGGACACCAAACCACCCACACTCCTTCGTGGCCACTGGAAAAGCCAAATAGGCTTTGCTGAACAATAGACATTGAGCCCTGGAACCACCAGAATGTCGCAAAATCCTTGTAACTAAATATTGTTATTTGATCTACTCAGAGCTCAGTTAGCTTTTATGATGCTATTGATCGCTATGGGCATGGCCAAGCAGCTGTCCTATTTATCACTTGGGGGTTTTTTTATTGCTGGCACTGGAATAAAATCACTATTTATTTGTACTTCAGCAGGGACAAAGGACCCCAGAAACCTACTGTGTTAGGCACTGCAGGAACAAAGCAAAAAGAGATTCCCTGCCACGAGCAAATGACGGACTGACTGTATGATGACACATCAGAGAAGGGGTAAGAACAGCAGGAACTGACAATAAAACTGGTTGTCTTGGTCACAGAGGTGAGTCAGAGCCATAACCTCAGCCCCAGCACCTGGCATTTCAACATGAAAGTTGGAGCAGACGTGAGACTGAATGTGGACTCCAGTCCCTGGAATTAAAAGTGATTGCTTAGCTTATAGCTCTGGATGCAGAAGGTGGAAACATAGATACAGATCTCTATTTATGGGGTTCCCTATGAGAGCAAGAGCAGAAAAAAAAGGATGAGTAAGGAGAAATTTTAGGAAACACTTGCATTTGGTATGTTTCCAGCAACCAAAGAAGACCAGAAGCCTAGAGAAAAATCTCACAGGATTTGGAAAAGTGAAGACTTCAGGAATGTTGCCTCTTTGGCCAAAAATTTCAGCAGCCCATCAGTAGTCTCGGCCTGGAGAGAAACTCTCCAGCAAAGCAGAGTGAGCAAAGGCAGATTCAGTGATAAAAGTTCTGCTTCTTCTAATGAGTTTTTTTATTCAGGATTAGTGGAATAACTCAGCTTTGCCAACATATCACCACTGCTACGTGACTCAGAGCCCCACACTTCCCTGCTGTCAGAACAACAATCTTGAGCGTCGCCCAACCAAATCCAAAACCAAAACTTCCGGCTCAGCTTTCCTTGTATTCAAGGAGAAACTCAGACTCATCAAAAAAGAAATCATCGAGAGAAATCACAGAAATTACATCTGCCTCAGAGCCCCTGCGAGCTCAAATTTGTGGACATGGTGAGAAAGCAGCGTGAGCACTCCTTGTGTTCCCGATCGTCCCCAGGTACCCACTGTCTAAGGATCATATACAGAGCTAGGCTGAGCTTTGGTCTGACACATTAAAGCCATCCCTATGTTTATTTTTTAGGACTATAAGTCATGATCAACTTACAAGGAGCATTACTCACCAGCAGCAGCGTGATGTATGTGAACAAGAGTGCCGCCACGATCAGGAGAACAAGAGACCAGAGAAACCAGAAGCCCAGGTTCCCATAGTTGTACCTAAAAAAACAATGAAATATTATAATAGTGTTTATGTTTAGCACATAGACTGGAGGGCAGCAACAGCCTCGTTCCTTGAGATATTTAAATTTTCAAATCAATCAAACAAAGAGGGATGGAGGAATAAGCTACCCTGTCATGCAGAAGTAGCTAAAAGCCTCCTTCCCCAAATCCATGACTGCATTAACCACCAGACTAATACCCGTCTGCTGGAGTGGTTAAACACAGAGCGAGAGGAAATGACCTCAACTTGTGCTAGAGGAGGTCTAGGCTGGATATTAGGAAACATTTCTTCCTCAAAAGGGTCGTCAAGCCCTGGCACAGACTGCCCAGGCCAGTCCCCAGTCCTGGAGGGATTTAAAAGCTGGGTGGATGTGGTGCTCAGGGACACAGGTCAGTGGTGACCTGGCAGTGCTGGGTTAATGGTTGGATTCAACCATCTTAAAGGTCTTTTCCAACCTAAATAATTCTCTGATTCTATGTCCAATCTGATGGCTTTGTAAGTCTGACTATAAGACACTGCACCTCACTGCAGACAGGGCACCTGGTGAAAGGAGCAAGATGACACGACTTAGGAGAACATCACATCTGTCCAAGGTTTTTTAGGGCATCGCAGCAAAAAAAAAGGAGATTTGAGCCAGGTTTTGAAGCAGAAAACACCAGAAAGCTGGAGAGAGCTTGCCCAAGGAGAGAGAGAGAGGGAAGCTTCACTTTTTACCCATAGGCTCAGTAAGGATGAATAATGTTATTACGCCTTTCCTCCCCATAATAGTTGAGCAGTTTTAATTTTAGGGGCCAGATTTGCGTAACTGTTGCCTGCATACTGCAGAAGGAAAGGATTTGCATAAATCCCTGCTGGTTATTTCTTACTTTTGAGCCTGGGAACATGCAATTGTCTTTGCAGGGAGATAGCTGGTGCAAAGCTTTCGACGCCGGCCGCTATATTTCTTCAGAAAGAACAGGGATGGGCCAGGGGGAAAGACTCAGAGAAGAAAAACAAAGGTTTATTTATTTAGTTCCTTTCACTCACAGTTTTTTGTGATGATGGTTATCCCCTTTCTCCCCCATTCACACTTGCACGTAAAAATCTGTAGCCAAGAAAAGGGCATCTCTGAAATCACTGGACATGGGGTCTGGATGCTCTAACCATTATTTTAAGAAGCCAAATCCCTGTGACCTGCTGCAGCCCAGCTGCTGGGGAGGGTGCTCCTCTCTTACCTGCCACCCTGGGGATCTTTTCAAGGAGTAGGAGAGGAAGAAAAGCTGGTACTTACCAGTCAAAGTTATTGTAGTCATTCTTGGCTTCACCCCACATGTACAGAAAGACCAGAGAAAAGCAGAAAGCTCCAACAAGCAATGGGAAAAACACACATTCCCGCTGGAGAGGGAGAGGAAGGACAAGAGGTCAAAGCCTTGTTCACCCCAAAGCATGCAGAGCAAATGGCAGGTACTTTTAGGCTGTCCCTAAAACACGTGGCTTGGTGCTGGACATCCTGAAGTAGATATGGAGAGGATTTCCCTCCCTGTTCCCTGCGACAAGGGAATGTCCTCAAAAGCACACTCTGCACTATTTATTTCCAGGGGAAAACAGGTCTCATGACTTTACAAACAAAGAGGTTTTTAATCAGCTCGCATGGGAGGGATCTGCACTACGCAGCAGCCTTTCTTTGCAATTCATACTGCACACCCATATATCAAACTTTACTTCTTTACTTTGCTCCCATGGCTCTGAGATGTTTCACTGGCCAAGAGGGTTTGGTGCAAGGTCCTTTCCTGCCACCATACTTTCTAGCTGTGTGATGGCACGGGCAAACTGAACTTGCTACAGAGACACAACCACACCTCAAGCACTTAGAGCAAAGCCTAACAACCCAACACAGCTCAGCTGGCTCCAAATGATGTTGGCCTGGGATGCCTTTGGCCCATGACACCAATTGCTTTGGACCAGCCCCTCCCTACACAGCAATCAATGTCTGGGCTGATTTTTAAGCTAATTTACCATCTTGCAGCAGCATTTCCCAGGCTCTGTCCTCCCGCGCTGGTACCGCTTCCACCGGCAGCTGTAGAAACCAGCCAGGCAGGAGATGAAGGGCTGATGCTCATACCGCTGCAGCAAGCGCCGACGGACCACCTTCAGCTTCCCAAACTTGAGCTTCTTGAGACTGGTGGAACTGGCCTCCATCTGAGCAGCTTTATCTCATCTTCTTCCTGAAACAAAGCTACAAGTTTTACGGGGAGGCTGTAACTCTCCTTTCCTATTTGGGGAAGCTTTCCATGTCAGAAGAAAGAGAGGAAGGATGCTGAAGAGGATGACTGCAAACATCAGGAGAGGGTGCTGAGGACACCCCACCTGGTTTTATATACCTAAGTGAGATGTCTAACAGAAAATCATGGTCATTGCAAGTCCCCTCGGCAGTCAGTGGTGCTCCTGGTTGTAATCTTAGGTACCCTGAAGCACCTCTGAGGGACCCTCTGCCTGCTTTTGATTATACCAGGACCTCTGGGAAATGAAATCACTAACTTAAGAACTCTGTGCAGGTTCCCAACTTATGTCAGGTGATCCCAAGCCTAGATTCAGCTGTGGGAATTAATTCAACACCACTGTGGCCTGTCTGCAACCTACTACTAGTTTAACTAGTAGGAAAAAAAATAAAAGTCCCCAGGTAAACATCTCTCTCACCCTAGCAGAAATACAACACGGGAGAAACTGATCTCTCAAGGAAAAACTATCTTCTGACTGAAATAGATTTACTCAGCAGTTTTTTCAAGGGTAAAAAGAGTAGCTGTGAAGAAGCACACATGGGAGATCTCTTCATAATCAAGATGATTTTAAACAAAGAACTTGGTGGTAAATTGCAACTGATGTATTTAACGGCGAAGCAAATAGCACGGGGAGTTGTGCCAGCAAAGAGTGGTTCACCCATCAGGACACTATCAAGATCTCAAGGAAAGATTTGTTAAAAAAAAGTCATGTGGGCATACAAAGAAGCACCATTACCCAGCACTTCTTTAGAGTACGGACATAGCCAGAGATGCTTTCCCACTGCATTAAAAAGTGCCATGTCCAAATCCAGGCACGTTTGCTATAGATTCCCAGCCTAGAACTGCAATTTCCCTGATTATTCTGATGTAAAAAGAGTCGTTTAAGAACAAGGGCCAGCAATGTGCTCACTGCACACATGGGTGAAATGCACACGCAAACTCTTCGCAAATAACTTGGAGCACAGTGCGTCTTTGTGGAAATCAGTGGATAAATCCCTGCAGATTGACACTTCCAAAAAAACCCCTGGTCAGTTTGCAGAAGGCACAAATGCAAAAGAGGCACAAGATGCAAGTTAAAACTGAGATGATGCTTCCTCAGTCAAACCCTTTCCAAATGTCCCAGCCCATTGGCAGCTGGAGTGCAAGGAGAGAGGATGGAAACAAAACAAATGGGGTTTGATTTTGGACATTGCTAATTAAGCAATGTCCAAGAGCACCATGCCCTGAATGCTTTCCTAAGCCAGATGTGTCTGCTCATCCGGGGGAGTTGCAGGGAATCACACTTGGATATGGTGAGGTCAAGCCATCCCTCGAAGCTCAGCAGGATCAGATCTGGGCCGACCAGGTTACCCCATAGTAAAAAATTGATGCCAATCTCATGTGGCAAGTTGGTGATCCTGCTCTTGAATTACCCAGAGCCCAGACGAGCAGTGCAGACGACAGCTGATCCTGCCGCCCTCAAGTGCACCTTGAATATATTAAAAAAATGTGGCTGGGGTAACTTGGTAATATATTTTATTCTTCAGAGCTCTTACTAGAAGGGTGTTGTGTGCCGTGGGGTTGCGGCATTTGTTACCTTCTATGAGGATCCCTAAACCAGGAGTTCCCCTGTCACGGAACCACACCTTGGGAAATGCCACCAACAAGCGTTACACTAAGGTATCCAAGTTCACAAATTTTGCACCTGGGAGCATGATTCCTTAAAGCTGTTTATAAGAAAGAACCCATCACCCTTGCCCACCCTTTGACAGCATCTACTCTTTCACTCTGACATGAGCAGGTGAGGGAATGAGAGCTACTGTGGCTTCCTCTCAAAAGAGAAATGTCTGCACACAGAACACTTGCAGTCACCTTCTAGAGATGCAGCCAGGGACGGTCAGAGGCTAGAGAACAGGGAAGCCAACAAACCTTTTACATCACATCTGCTGGGCTCAGCAAGCTCTCATCCAAAGCTGAAACTACCCTGTCAAGACCTGGAAGGACTTGACCCAATGCTGCTCCCGGTCCCTCTGCAAATGGGACACTTGGGGCCAATCTGACCCACAGCTGTATAGGACTGCTGGGTCTCTGCGGAGGACTGAAACACAAGACCTGCCTGAGGCACTAGACAAAAGGCAATGCTTGTGTGGAGATGCAAGGGA